TCGAAGTCCCAACAGACGAAGTGATTCGCCAGTCCATAAGATTCCCGGATATGGCTAACAACGAGGTCGAGTATGAGGCCTTAATTGCAGGATTAAGACTAGCACTTAAATACAGGGTGAATCGGCTAAGGCTGCGCTGCGACTCTCAACTCATGGTCAACCAAGTCACAGGGACTTTACAAATCAAGGAGCAGAGGTTACAAAAATACCAGACCGAAATCTGCAAACTACTACCCGAGTCGACGAATGTCAGCTCAATCAGATTACCCGAGCACAGAATATCGAGGCGGACGGCCTCGCCAAATTAGCGACTGCCACCAAAAACATCACAACCGGAGACCAAAATATGGTCCACCTCCTCAACTCGTCGATAGACCAAATCAAGGTAAGAACTATAAACCTAACTTGGGACTGGCGCAATCGTATTATTATATATTTGTAGGACGGAGCACTCCTCAGTGACAAAAAATAGGTCAAGAAGCTGCAAATGCAAGCAGCCAGGTACAACCTCGTTCACAATGACTTGTACAAAAGGACATATGGCGCCCCCCTAGCGAAATGTTTGGGCCCAAATCAGACGTGATGCGTCCTTGAAGAAGTGCACGAAATACACTATGGAGCTCATTCCGGCAATCGAGCTTTGGTTAGGTGTCTCATCCGAGCAGGATACTATTGGCCCACCATGAAAAAGGAGGTCGCAGATTTCGTAAAAAAAATACGAGCAATGCCAGAAGTACGCCCCAATGATCCACCAAGCAGGCGAACACCTACACTCAGTAACTTCCTCTTGGCCATTCATCAAATGGGGAATAGATATCATGGGCCCCTCCCGGCTGGACGAGGTAACGTACGATTTCTCTTAGTTTTAACTAATTATTTCTCTAAATGGGTGGAAGCAGGAGCATTCGCCCAAATACGCGAACAGGAAGTAATCGTCTTCATAAGGAAGAACATCATATGCCTTTTTGGTCTCCCCAAAGAAATCAACTGCGACAACAGACCTCAATTTGCAGGAAAGAAGGTCGCCGATGTTTTCGAAAAATGGCACATCAAAAGAATACTGTCAACGCCTTACCACCCCGCGGGTAACGGGCAAGCGGAATCCTCCAACAAGTCAATACTGAACATCATGAAGAAGAAGCTCGTAGACGCCAAGGGACTGTGGCCTGAGATATTACCAGAAGTACTCTGGGCCTACCGAACAATGCCAAAAACGAGCACAGGGGAAACACCATACTCGTTAGTCTATGGGACTGATGCAGTAATACCAGTCGAGGTCGGAGAGCCCAGCCTAAGATACTTCCGTGAAAGTGTACCCCAGAACGATGACTTTAGAAGGCAGCAGCTCGATGAAGTCGAGGAACAAAGATATATGGCCTATGTGAGAATGGTCGCCCAAAAGCAGCAAGCAGAACTCTACTATAATAAAATAGCAAAGATCAGACCGCTTAAAGTCGGGGACTACGTGCTGAAAGTTAAAACACAAGCAAGCAAAGACCCACGGGAAGGCAAACTAGGAACAAACTGGGACGACCACTGCAAAGTCACGGCAGCGGCAAGCAAAGGGTCTTCGCACTAGAAACAATGGAAGGAAAGTGACTACCAAACAACTGGAATACTACACACCTCAAGTACTTCAACTTTTAAAGGACGGGGTCCCCAAAGTCGCACTCTTTTTCCCTCACTCGAGTTTTGTCCCAATTGGGTTTTCTCGAGGAGGTTTTTAACGAGGTGAGGACGGGGATACTTCAGGATTGAGGTGCGCACAGACGAGGGCACTAGATGACCAGTTCATTGCTCGATCTCTCACTATTTTTTCAGTTCGACCAATGAAGGGACTAGATAGGTTGGGACTGGGACTGAACTACCAGCCAGCGCCCGAAAAATATGTAAATCTCTCCGAGAATAGGAATAAAGCACAAGCATATGAAGTTTATCCCCACTCTCCCCAAGTATAGGTTACATTCGACCTCGTTCGAATTAACACATTTTCGGCCCACAACCTCAAATAATTAAAGGTCATATTCGACCTCGTTCGAATTAACACCTTTTCGGCCCACAACCTCAATTAAGTAAGGGTTACATTCGACCTCGTTCGAATTAATACCTTTTCGACCCACAACCTCAAATAATTAAAGGTTATATTCGACCTTGTTCGAATTAGTACATTTTCGGCCCATGGCCTCAATTAAGTAAGGGTTACATTCGACCTCGTTCGAATTAACACCTTTTCGGCCCACGGCCTCAAATAATCATAGGTTATATTCGACCTCGTTCGAATTAACACTTTTTCGGTCTGCGACCTCAATTAATATAAGGTTACATTTGATCTCGTTCGAATAAACACCTAATTGGCCCTCGGCCTCAATTAATATAAGGTTACATTCGACCTCATTCGAATTAACACCTACTCGGCCCAAGGCCTTACTCAATTAATATAAGGTTACATTCGACCTCATTCGAATTAACACCTACTCGGCCCACAAACTCATTTAGTTAATATAAGGTTGCATTCGACCTCGTTAGAATAAACACCTCTTCGGCCCACGACCTCAATTAATTAAAGGTTACATTCAACCTCATTCGAATAAACAACTATTTACATGGTATTAAAAGGGGAATATATATTCTAGTGAATATTCCTAATGTTTGTACTATTAGGGTTTCCTGAAAAAAATACCTCATATTTATAGAAAGAAGAGACAATGATAGGGTCATGTAATATTATTGCTGATAAGAACACTTTTGAGAAGAAAACTCTCTCTCTGGCACAAGCACAAAGATTATCTTTTTATAAACATTCTTGTTCATGTTATTCCCTACTTTTTCATCAGATCCAAGGATTGTTCATACGAATCTTGGATCTATCCGTCATACTCCGTTTTCAGGCAGAATATCCGTTCTGTCCATTCATTATTGGGTGAATCATTCTCTTTGTTTACATAAAGGCCATTTATAGATATTTATTGCTAGATATATCTCACTTAGTATTCTTGTTGTAAGAGTATTTTACATTTATTGTCATCAACCATATACAAAATTTGTCTCTCTACCGTGCCTCTTTTTGCTTAATATCTTGAGTTATTATCCTTAACTAGATTTAGCCCTTTCATCATATAAATTTAATAGTTTAACCGGAAATTATATTTTTTTGTCAAACAATGGCTTCTTCCTTTGTTTTTTAAAATTTTTTAAACTTTAGAAAATAATTTATTTTGGTAATCAAGCAAACATTTCTGTTAATTAAAAAAATTCTATTCTTCAAAATTTTGGGGGTCAAAGTTTCGATTCATATCTGAATAAGATCAGAGAGATGCTCTAAATCTCTCTCCCTCTCTCTCTTTTCGTATGCAAATTTTGATATCTTTATGACAAGACTTTGTCACTTTGATTTGACGACAAAAGAGAATATTATCATTTCTTCTCTTAAAATGATTTAATATAAAAGCGGCAAACAACTACACGTTCTAATGAAGACGTCAATAGTATAAAACTAAAAGGTAGGTATATAAAGAAGGAAAATGATCGATAAACACTCATTATAAAAGTCAAGATTCTCAATTCCACTAACGCTGTATTTTTCTTTTATAAAAAAGTTTTAATAAAATAATATGAGGTAGTTTGATTCCTCCCATTTTATTTATATAAGATCATTTCACTCGGTACAACATTTAAGAAAAAAAAATTTTAAAATTTATAATTTTAAAAACTTAAGAGGTATAAGTTTATACATCATGATATTTGTGTATCTGTAAAAGTTTAATTTAAAAGTCAAGTGAATAAAATAAAAAGTTTAATATTAAATTCTTTTTAAATATATAAATATGACATTAGACTAAAGAAAATATGTTACTATATGCATATGGAAACGGCAATAAAACGTAAAAGAAGAATGACGATACCAATGACGTGTATAGAAGCCAACAAAGAGAGGTGACAGCATCTGCTGCGTCAGCTTAACGACTTCACCCGCTAACCAACACCTCACATAAATAAACACTTTTATACAACTGAAGAGCCACTGGACCCGCAAAACACAAAACGGGTCGAGTATCATATACTAATAAGGGTCGGGCCAAATAGCTCGGTTTCTTTTTTTTTTCCCTCCATAATAACGTTAATATTTAACTCGGAGTCGGGAACCACATGAAATCACAGAACTGATTATTTGATAAGATTGTAATGACAGAGAGCAGCGGCGGAGGCACGTGGTGGTAAGCGGGTTAAACTGAACCCGATTTATCAAAAAATAATATTGTTTATATATATAAATTATGATTAAAACTGCGTAAATTTTATATAAATATTTTATTTCAACTCACTTGATAACTACTATTTTACGACTAAAGTTATGTACTTTTAAGATTGAACCCGCTTGCACAAAATTATGGGTCCGCCACTGATAGAGAGAAAATTAGCATTGTTCTTAGGCCTTATAAACTTAGTGGCATTTGGATATAAGAATTGTAAAATTCTAAAAAAAGTAAAAAAAAAATTCAAGTGAAAATGGTATTTGAAAATTAGAGTTGTGTTTGGACATGAATATAATTTTGGGTTGTTTTTGAAGTTTTGTGAGTAATTTGAGTGAAAATTTTGAAAAACAGCCTTTTGGAGTTTTTCAAAATTTCGTAAAATTTCAAAATGCATTTTCAAGTGAAAATTGAAAATTTTATAAACAAACGTTAATTTCGGAAAAAAGTTAAAATTTTTTGCAAAAAAGGAAAAAAAATTCTTATGTCCAAGCGAGCTCTTAATCAAAACGTTAATCTAGGATACAGAGAGTAACTATTTTCTAATAGCATCACATGCAATTATAAACAATTTATTCTTCTCTGTTAAAAAACTTCTCAAAATAAATAACCAAACAAATGAAAAAAATCACAATCGGGTCGATACCAAATAATGAGATATCTCATGAATCGGGTCTAAGTATATAGTCTTACTAAAACGATTAGGAACATGGATTCTTCTGCACAGCCCCACACAGCCAAAAAATAAAATAACTTTGCGTTATTTTCTTACGAAACTTCCCTGAGACACGTGGGTCCAATTCGCTGTCTCCTCAAAGCAACCAGAGACAATGTTTCTTGAATTCTAATCCTTTAATCTTTTTTGGTTGCACTTCGGATCTAGCTCAAAAAAATACAGTATTTTCGCTCTGTAATTACAAATTTTCTCGTTTTTAAGCTGAAGTGAATGTTATCCCAATTGGGTTAGTTGTGATCAAGCAGTTGAAGATTTTTGTTGCAAAATTTGCCAGTTATCCTGACTTTAATGTGAAGTTGGTAAATTTTTCATTTGGGTAAGTTGTGATCAAGCAGTTGAAGATTTGCACTTTGTATTTTTACTGTGAAATTGCAGTTTTGTTGTTTATAGATGGGGTGGAATTGTTAATTTCTTTCTAAAGTTTTAAAGGGTTGATTTGGTTATACCTGTAATAGGGAGAATATGAGTTGTAGTTTGGAATTTGCTTCTTTTCTTGGTCAGCATAGTTGAATGTTATGAGAAAACTTATGGAAAGTTTTGGTCCAACTTTTGTCCTTTGAGAGGAATTTGTTGTATTGGTGATTGATTAAAATTTTTAGATTTTCTGGACTTTGACTATCTTAGACGTAGATAAATTTTGTATATGTTTTTAGACCATTAGAATTGGGAAATGGATTGTTCTGCTGAACCATCATCATCTATAAGCTTTACTTCATCTTCCATTACATCGAATGGGTCGATTGGCGTTGGCCAAAACACACATGCTTATGATGGCTCTGAGACAGGGACTAGTTACGAAATCATCAGCTTGAGTAAACTCAGTAACAATTTAGAACAACTCTTGTCAGATTCCAGCACTGATTTTAGTGATGCTGAGATTGTTGTTGAGGGAGTTTCGCTTGGTGTTCACCGTTGTATATTAGCTGCCAGGAGTAAATTTTTTCAGGATCTTTTTAGGAAAGAGAAGGGAAGTTGTGGAAAGGAAGGTAAACCAAGATATTCTATGACCGATATTTTGCCTTATGGTAAGGTTGGATATGAGGCTTTCCTTACTTTCTTAAGCTATTTGTACTCGGGAAAGTTGAAGCATTTCCCTCCGGAGGTATCAACATGTACGGACACTATATGTGCTCATGACTCTTGCAGACCAGCAATTAGTTTTAGTGTGGAGTTGATGTATGCCTCTTCCGTGTTTCAGGTTCCAGAGCTAGTGTCACTTTTCCTGGTAAGTATTAAGTGACATGCTTTCTGCTGTTAATGTACATTTCAAGTGATTTTGTGGTGTTGTGATTCAAGCTAACAAGGACGAATACAAAAGATTATGTGTGTCTAGTTGATAACTGATAATTAGACTGTAGATTGTATTATGAAATCTCTATGTGAAATTTTCATCTGAAATGACTTTTTCTTCTGAACTTCTGTCAATCTGTCAAAGAAAGTAGAAGGTCAATACGTTAATCATATTAAAGTGGTATCCAGTTAATGAATATTCTGCAATGTCATGATTTTGTGCATGATCATACACTGCAATACATTGTGCTATGAATCCAAATTCATTCATTTATTCATACGTTAGTCGCTACTTGTATCATGATACTCTTTTCAGTGTCCAATATTATTTGTTAGGAGAAAAGTAGTTCTAGATTTGTTTCAATCAGAAGAAGTTGGTCATTGCAATAACTGCAGAGGCGGATCCAGGATTTAAATCCTATGGGTTCAATTTTTAGAATTTTTAGCATTGAACCCATAATATTTGTAAAGTTATGGGTTCATATCTACTATTTTTGCAAATTTAATGAATTTTTATATAAATTTTTTTACTCCGCATCGAAAGTTGTGGGTTCAATTGAACCTACATCCGCCCCCGGCAATAAGGACCTTGTCAAGTTGAAATGGAATATCCCCAAGCCATTGATGGATACAACCTTTTGAACCTCACTGATGTTATTGTGCAGTAAATTTGAATTGCCTAATGTTGGAGTTTACTGATATGCTTGAGTTTAGCATGCATGTCTAATAATTTGCTTTAGGCAGTTTAAGTTTTGAGGGTAGTGGTTTTTGCAATAACCTTTCAGCTCTGCATAATGGTAATCAACACAATGAATATTGGATGCATGTAACCTATGGCTGCTACCAGTTACATAAAAGTTGATGCATTTGTCAAAAATATATAGAGAATTTTTCCTTGCCGGCAACAATCAAGAGTACAGTCTGCTAATACGAGCTCATATAATTGCAGCGACGCCTTATCAATTTTGTTGGAAAGGCTCTTGTGGAAGATGTTATCCCAATACTTAGAGTTGCTTTTCATTGCCAATTGAGCGAGCTTCTCACTCATTGCGTTGATAGAGTAGCACGATCAGATCTTGAAATCATATGCATTGAGAAAGAGGTTCCTTTTGAAGTTGCAGAGAGTATTAAATTATTGCGGCCGAAATGTCAGGTTGATGAAAGTAAGGTTCTACCTGTGGATCCCTTGCATGAAAAGAGAAAAAATAGGATATACAAGGCATTAGATTCGGATGATGTTGAACTGGTCAAGCTTCTACTCAACGAGTCTGAGATAAGCTTAGATGAAGCCTACGCTCTTCATTATGCTGTTGCATATTGTGATCCCAAGGTTGTGACTGAGGTTCTTGGACTGGGTGTTGCTGATGTCAATCTACGTAATACTCGCGGTTACACTGTGCTTCACATTGCTGCCATGCGTAAGGAGCCAGCAATAATTGTATCGCTTTTGACTAAGGGAGCTCATGTGTCAGAGATTACATTGGATGGGCAAAGTGCTGTTAGTATCTGTAGGAGGCTAACTAGGCCTAAGGAGTACCATGCAAAAACAGAACAAGGCCAGGAAGCAAACAAAGATCGGGTATGTATTGATGTTTTGGAGAGAGAGATGCGTCGCAACCCAATGGCTGGAGATGCATTGCTTTCTTCCCAAATGTTGGCCGATGATCTGCACATGAAACTGCACTACCTGGAAAATAGAGGTACCTTATATAATATGGTAATCATGGGTTTTCCTCTTTTTACCAACCAAGGCACAAGCAACTTCTAGTCTTCTGGTTCTGGAAGCTAGATTTCCTTGGTTGAAAGTTAATACCAAGCAAGATTAGTAGTCCTACTGGACCTTGTTCGTTGATAGTAGTTATGTGACTAAGATTTAAGCATTTCATATCATTAGATCATGATCAAATTTGGAAAACTACACAGAGAGTAGTAGGGAAACCTTGACAGTTAATATTGAAAGCATGGTATGCTTGGCATACATAACGAAGATGTTGACCTATTTGCGCCAGGATACATTGTTGATTAGTAGATACTCACCTCCTGTTAAAAGTCATTTATATTAGTTCATTATTTCTCTAAATTCTAGGGGAAGATCTCAGTGGGGCCAAGTCTTGGTACATGAACTACAGTTCTACCATCTCTTGGACAATCAGGCTGATCACAATACCAGTTGATGCCACAAAGAGAGTGAGGGAATCTAGGGTATACTGACTAATCCAGCCAAAAGGGAAAAAAAAAAAAGAACAAACAAACACACACAGAGTAGCTTCTGCATTATATAATGACTTGGGATGCATCCATGATGTTATCATTTATCAGGGTGTTTGTTTTTGTCACGTGCAATATCTCATCGGCCAAATTTTGATTTGGTTTCACATTCAATTTTGATGAGCCTGTTGTGGCCCTCGCATGAGTTAAATATGATCGCAGAGCAAGTAATTTCATGATGGCTTTTGTATTACAGTGGCATTTGCACGATTACTGTTCCCTCTTGAAGCCAGACTAGCCATGCAAATTGCGAATGCTGAGACAGCAGCTGAATTCGCGGGCCGTTTGGCATCTAAAAGTTCATCTGGAAACTTGAGGGAGGTTGATTTGAATGAGACACCCATAAAGCAGAAAGAAAGACTTCTTTCAAGGATGCAAGCCCTCTCGAAGACAGGTATCCACTGATAGCCCGTCTATTTATTAAGATCGTCTTACATGTACCAGGTTTCCTATTATTTCCAATTCCGTCACCATCTAATCAGTAGCAACTTAAGTGACATGAAGAGCATCTAGACCTGAATCCACTTTTTGCCCCCACCGTCCTCCTTCCTTATTCTCCAAAAAGAGGAAAAGAAGGAAAAAACAAAGAATGCAAATTAAGAGTATTGGTCCAAGTTTGTAGCATTAACAACTGATGTTAATCCCCAAAATATCCAGGAGAAATGGCATTATAAATATGTGTATGTAGGGTTTTGCTGACCTACTACATGACTATAGTACGTCACTTTATTTCCAATTTTCTTTTTCATCAAATACCCTTTGTGATTTGTGACTTGAAAGAATGACTATATATGCTCCTTAAGCAGGTTTATATTTTCCTTAAACAATTTCTTTATTTGCATGTATAGATTCCATCATGGATCGAGAATGCCTTCAGAATTTTATTTTCAAGTTTCCTCTTGTCATTATTCTTAATTGATTCTGTTTCATGGTTGCAGTTGAGCTTGGCAAGCGCTACTTTCCGCATTGCTCCCAAGTTCTGGATAAGTTTATGGAGGATGACTTACCCGACTTAATTTTCCTTGAGATGGGCACTCCAGAGGAGCAAAAGATCAAGAGGAAGCGATTTAAGGAGCTCAAAGATGACGTTCAACGGGCATTTAACAAAGACAAGGCTGAACTTCATAGCTCTGGCTTGTCCTCCTTTTCCTCTTGTGTCAAACGTAGGAAACTATGAGTAACGGTTTTGTCCTATAAGTTCTCTTACTTCTCTACCATCTCAGTTTTGGATGTAAGATTAATAGATTTCAAAAGACTTATCTTGTATAACCTTCATTAGAGTGCCTGCTCTGTCACTATCCATTTCCTAATTCAGCTTGTTAAACTATCATGTTTTCACACTAGAAAGAGAGTTGCATAGAAACGAGCTTGCGGAAATATTAATTATGCAAAAATGATTCACTTTTAAGGGAAGTTTATTAGTATATTATGTCAGCATGTAGAGATATCTGGATCATCACTTTGTCTTTTTTTTATATTTATATTCTACTTGATTGAATGGATCGCCAGAAAATACTAACAAAGTTAGTCCTTTTAGCATGACCCACATATGATATGAGAAACAAACTACAAAGAAATTATGTGGTCTTGGTGAATAGAGGAAATAGTCAGCTAATTACAGCTCGATAAATCAGTGCAAACTATTCATTTGGCTTGCGTATGGTGAAATCTTGATTCTCCTTCAAATTTCAATGCTGCTCTTCCACTTTATTCTCCGTTGAGTTGTCTTTTTGAAAGAATCATGATTACATATAATCCTCCAAAACCTTTCATCACAATATTTAATTCCTATGTTTCCAGTTGGCAAAGAACTAGATGGGTCTAAAAGATCCTCACGGCTTAAACACATGTACACAGAAACATTAAATAATTACTGCTCGAGGCATTCAAGAGTGTCGCCTAGCGGTCAATGAAACGAGTAAAAATTGTGAGAGATCCGGGAGAAAACGCAGTAATTTTTTCCCAAACCTTGAATGGCAATTAGTTACACTACATCAAAGACAAGACTACATAAATGGTTCCCCGGATATATAATAAGTTCTGGGCAAACCTTAACCTGAACAAGATAACCTAAGTGAAGCATTAATGCAGACAGAAGTAAAAAATATGTTTACAAATGGCATTATGTTGGGTTGTTTCTGCTACATATTTACAAAGCCTATATCCATCACCAAATAGGCCAACTTCAGAGTAACTCGTCACATAGGTAAGTAAATCTAGAACAATCAATTTGGTGAAGAGACTAGATTAACTACGCAAGGAAACCATGAGACTTCATACAGCGGCCCTATGGAGGAAAGTAATCTTCGCCAAGTACGAATGCAGGGGAACTGATGCACAAGACAAACCACCAACACATGGAATTATGGAGAGAACCATTAGCTGTCTATGGAAGGAGTTCTCTAAACTAGTACATGTCTGAGTGGAAGATGCAAGGAAGACAAGACTGTAGATTGACCTCTAGAGTTTAGAGACACCAAAACTTAAAACAGTTATTCCCAGATGTATACTGCATAGTGAGGAGCAAGGGAGCAATCATTGCTAATTATAGAAAGGGAAGTATGAAAGAGTGAGTCAATTAAAGTAAATTGGAGAATTGCGATTGATTTGATACATTATAAACAGGATAAATTGGTTTGGGAAGGGGAAAAGGATAGATTTATTTAAGGTTAGAATGTTCTACCAAAGAAGCCAAATGTGAAAGATACCGGCCTTGGAGAATAATATGAAGGAGCTGAAGTTTTTGGCTGGATTGCCATGAATGGGGCATGGCTCACGCAGGACAACCTACAAAAAAGAGTACACAGTCTAAGTAACAGGTGCTATTGCTGCCTATGCAAGTTACAAGCAGAATCTCCTGAAAACTTACTGATACACTGTACTACTGTAGATATTCATGGGAGGTGTGGACAGTGTTCCTTAATGTCTTTGGAGTGAAATTAGTGGCTCCCTCATCCATTGAAGACATAGTAAATCAAATACATTTGACATACTGTTCCTTTGTACAATTTTTGGACAATTTGGAAAGCAAAAAATTGCAGGTGTTTTTAAACTAGTTAACAGGCCTTTCCATGTGTAAAATTCCGAGCATTACAACTTTTGTAATCTTGGTTTACATTTTTGTGGATTTTCTCAACTCTCCACAGACATCAGAAGATAGAATCCTTTCCTGCTGTACATATCGGCACCTACTTGATGCATTGCAAAGACATTTAAGAAAGAACAAATATTGAACTCATTAATGGACATTCTGAGACATAACACGTGTCTCTGGATGCTTTTTTTATGAAGGTGGTGTAAGGCAAGTTTGTGTGCACTTCGATCAGTCCACTAGCTACCTACCAGCTACCACTAGTACAAATATCTAGTACTCTGTCGATCAAGGCTTAAGACAAATGAGAAGAAATGATCTAGCATTTTATTCATAAAATTATTCCAGCAGCACAGCTTGATAACGATGTTCTCTGGAATTTACTCCTTGAATATTAGTAATAAATTTAAGGATAGAGATAATGATGCTCCAAAATTGCATAGAAGGCAGTAATATTCACCAATATACTCCAATTGGTTGTTCATGATAAAATATGAAATAGTAGTATATAGCATCCTCATAAGCTAACAAGATACAACACACTATGTCGAGTTGTGTCCATAGTGGAGAGGAAAAGAAAGCGCAGGCGGACAAATCATGGCCAGTTCAAGAAAAAGAGTTTGGGGCCAATACAATTTTGTTTTGTAATGACATAGCAATACATCATAAACAGTTCGTTATTTTTGGAGCAACATTAGGGAAAAAGAAACATGTATATAGAATGAGAAAATTGGTATTCAACAAGCAATGTCCCAATCTGTTATGAAAATCAGGGGCATACTAGCAGAAAGAGAAGTAACAGAGGCAGAACAGAAAACGTAAAAACAACGAAAAGGAACACTGCTGATACAACAACAACAACCCAGTAAAATCCCACAAATGGGGTCTGGGGAAGGTAGTGTGTACGCAGACCTTACCCCTACCCCGAGGGAGTAGAGAGGTTGTTTCCGATAAACCCTCGAAAAAAGTACACTTCTTATAGTAACAGAGTAGATTGTCTTCTTTATTCTTAAGAGCCTCCCGTCCCCACTTGGGAAAGAGATTCTTGAGCCTTAATCAGGATAAGAAACTTGACCAGGAAAAAAAAGAAAAGAAAATTGAGAAAATCGAAAAACCTCTTATACAGGTCTTTTGACTTGCCCTCTGATGGACCACAAGTAATCGCACCCAAAATCATAGTCATACTTTTCTTCAGGGGCGGCTTGGATTTTTTCAATAATTTTGGTGTCCAAGCCAAACTTGTCCGCGCCTTGACTAATCCACTGGGCACCCACTATCTCCCACCAGCACAGGTACCAGGTAACTCTACATACTAAGGCTTATCAGAAGGATAGCTAGGGTGTACGTACATCAGATCTATTATTTTACAAGTCTAATGAGTACATGACACCTCCTTGTCCGGTCAGAAAGTACCTAAATATCCAGAGTTCCCTCGTCTAAAGCATGAAGAGAAGGGGCTATGATGGGAGTAGCAAGTGGGATGAAAAATTCTTCAACAGAACGAGAGCAGACTAAAATCAAGCAATCCCCCCTTCTGACGCTTCAAAGTATAGTTGAGTGATGTGTATCTCCTAACAAGTGACATATTAGAGAAAAAAAGAGCATAGACAAACCATTTAAAGGTGGGAAATTTAAATAATCAATTAGAACTAGAAACTTAGAGCAGCTTGAGGTAAAAATGGTAACTTTATTCATCAAAACTGATATGGAAAATCATCTTAGCTGGATTGAAGTGAACTTTTTAAATTTTCCCACATTGCTGGACCTTCTGGATGTATGTCAACAAAATATTTTACAAAGCGGGCATCTGAACAAGCAAGAAGAGTACTCACTGACAATGTTGGTTTTGCAGCACCCTTTTGCTTCAGCCATGCATACATTGAAAACCGAAGATGGACTCTGTCAACATCATAGCAGAGGTAAGATGGAAATGACGCAATCGATTCCACTGGATAACCTAAATATGTTTTCAATAGATCAATTTTCTTCTCAAGCACATTTTTGCTCTGGTTCAGCGCCGTGGGGGCCTGTTTAATCATATTAATTACAACATTGCAGTCCAGACCAGCATTTACCAGGCAATCAAACCTCTCTTGTAACTGGTCTCCTCGTCCACGGAACTGCTTTAAAGCTTTTGCCATCTCATCTGAATTTTCTAAGTAACCTAATCTCAACAAGAAAGTAGTTTTCTCAAATAATTTTCCTGGGTTCTGGGAAGTCATCTGCTCCAAGCTAACTTTTGATTTTGAGGCTAATCTGAATAAATTCAAAGGATCCTCTTTTATAGTTTCACATAAACGACACTTGTCACCCTTGAAGCCCCTCAAAACGGTCTTTGGTCCCTTCAGAGAATGTGACCCCAGAAGTTGTATATGTATAGATACAATATTTGCAATAATTTCGGTCTCTAATCCTATTTCCAACAAGAAGTACAATGCCTGCCAGAGATTTTTAGCACACTTCAGAGATAGGATATTAGGATTTTGACAGAATAGTGAGTATATATCATTCATTTTAAGACCCAACTTCAGTAATTGCCCAACCAATACATAAATCCGTTTCCCAGAGCCTTCAAATAAGAATGCAGGGTTCATCTTAAACAAAGACGCCATCTTTTCATCACTATATCCTACTTCATTGAGAAAATGCAACGTATGAAGCATTCTACCCCAATTGTAGGAGTGCCTGTTGGATAAGTATCCACCGATCCAATCATTTTCAAATCCTAAGATTTTCAATTTCTCAAGAACCTTAATAAGTTCACTATTCATCTCACCAAGCAAAAGAGTAGGCGAACAAGTCACCAACTTTATAACCGTTGATCTGCTCAAACCCAATTTCTCATAAGCCCTCAACTTCATATCCAATACTCCATAGTCATATCCGAATATCTCACTCGCTTCCTTATAAATCTTCCCCATTTTAACTCGAGGGATGCCATAATCACAAAGAACATGATAATTATCAAGCAAGACACTGTCATCACTCAAAAACATCAAATTTCGCGGAAGCATAGATGTAAGCTCGGATTGGCTCAACCCCAAGCTTTCCAAAAATGGCTCGAACTCATTAATAGGATGGTATCTAAAGAAACGTGTCAACGCCCTCGTTATGTCTTGATCATTATCAACCTTGGATAGCAAGCTTTGAAGAAAATGAGGCGAGTTCTTGCTAATATGTTCGGCATCCACATAATTAAACCCTCTTGTACAATGCAAGTAATCAAAGAGAGCTGCTTGTGCATCAGTTCTTGTAACCCGCGAGATTTTATTGACAACAAGGGAAATGGGTGTTTGAGTTGTAGATTCGGGGACAGACACCTTAGGATTATGTGAACTACGAAAGCATCTAATATTCAAAGATGAAAAATTCTGGGGGCTATGAGAATTAGAACCTTTTTCATAAATAGGAGAAATAAATAGGTGATTGAGCTGAGATATCATTTTCCAAGATACACTTTTGCGGATTTTTCGAATTAGCATCTCAAGTTAGCAAACAATAGATTCTGATTTCTGGACTAAAGGAAAAAAAAATACTCCTATGATATTTAGCTTATAAAGCTTATGCAAATGAACAAGTGTCCAAGAAAATTTCATGGGTCTTTCATTTTTTGCACAAATACATTGGAAGGATCAGATTAATGAACAATTGTTCAGCAAAAGATGGTTTCTTTATGGTGCAATTAGAAGTTTAGAACTGTACAGAGCAGGTTGTGGAATTGATACCTCTGATTGTAGTTTGGAGCTGCTTTGTTCCTTTCTCCGCGGTTAGCCAAGATACGATGGCTTCTTATGACAGGTATTTTAAATACGCCTTAGAAACAGAGAAGATAATAGGGGTTTAGCTAAGCGTTGGATACAAAGAGGGAGTACTATAAAATTCTAAAACCCTAGAAGGAGGAGGAAAAAGGTCTGGTTTTTGGTCGAGAGTTTCAAAGTTCAAACCCCCACCCCACAAACCTCCTGCTATTTCTGTCTTTTATTTTTATTTTTACTCCTTCCTAATTTCTAAAAATAATTGTCTAAAGTTTAAGACAAAATTAATTATTTTTTCTCATTTTACCCTTAATATTCATTATTCTAAAAAATAGAAATAATACGTAAGTAGAGTAAATATTTAATAAAGAAAGATTATATTTTAAGACATAAATAAAGATAAAATAGTCCAAACCTCTCTTAAAAGAGAAACACAATCAAAATTTTGAGACGGAGCGAACAATTGGTATTTTTCACATGGTAACAACAACAACAATAATAATATACCCAGTATTATCCCGCACCGTGGGGTTTGGGGAGGGTAGTGTGTACGCAGACCTTACCCATACCTTGTGAGGATAGAGAGACTGTTTCCAATAGACCCTCGGCTCAGGAAAGTATAAGCACCATATTAATGAAAATATAGACAAGAAGGGATAGTACCAAAAAGTCATATAAAAGCAGGATAAAACAACAAGATAGTAAGGTGGTCAACAATAAAAGAAAATAACAAAAACCTACTACCAACAGAAAGCGAGATTGCGTGCCAATACTACTGTTATGAACACTCTATACTACCTACTCTACTACCATAATACTCGACCTACATACCTTCCTATCAAAGGTCATATCCTCGATCAGCTAAAGTTGCGCCATGTCTTGGCTAATCACCTCTCCCCCACCTCTTCTTTGGCCTACCTCTACCTCTACGCAGGCCCTCCAATGTCAACCTCTCACACCTCCTCACCCGGGCGTCTGTGCTCCTCCTCCTCACATGACCAAAACACTTAAGTCGCGCTTCTCGCATCTTGTCCTCAATAGGGGCCACACCCACCTTGTCGCGAATAACCTCATTTCTGATCATATCTAACCTGGTGTGCCCGCACATCCATCTCAAGGATCTCTGCTACCTTCATCTTCTGGACATGAGTGATCTTGACTGGCCAACACTCAGCCCCATACAACATCGTTGGTCTGAACACCACTCTGTAGAACTTACCCTTAAGTTTCGGTGGCACCTTCTTGTCACACAAAACACCGGAAGCAAGTCTCCATTTCACATGGTAAATTACATTAAACTCACCGTAATATGACTTAATAGGCGTTTGGACATAAAAAATAGTATAAATTTTGAAAAAATATTAATATTTGGAGTTAATTTGAAAAATGGTATTTGAAATTTAAAATTATATTTGGACATGCATTTCACTTGAAAAAATATTGCATTTTTGTGAGTGAAAAAATAAATCCGAAAATTTTAAACTTTTTTTCAAAAACTTATAAAATTTCATGGACAAACACATATTTGAAAAGAAAAAATTGAAAAAAATAAAAAATATTTTATAGACAAACGGGGGCTTAGTCATAAATACACTTATTATATTTTGAAATAGTTGTAAATACACTTGCTATATTTTGAAATCTACACTTAACCCCCCTTTATACGTTAGTTTGAATAATATTCTATTTCACAAGGGTGTTACATATTAACTTTAAAAATCAAGAGGGATATATGTAACTATAAAGATTAAAAATAATTAAAAGATATATGAAAATTCGAATGGAAAGTTCATTTATATTCAGTTTTTATGAGATGTACGAAAGAGACACAAAATCTTTGTTAAAAATTATAATTCATCCCTTTGCTAAAAAAGAAAATATTAAACATTTTGTAAAATATGTATATTTTGAACTCTTAAATAGAAAATGGCCACAAGCTAATTTATAATCTACATCGAATACGTGGATTGTTTCTTGCATTAAACATGTGAGCAGTTTATATTTTTAAAATATAAAATATTTAGTTAATATCATGAATTTTCATATTTTGTTTTAGTTTTTTGTTGTTTTGCTTCGTATTATTTAAATTCACTTAGTTACGTGAGAGTTCCTCCGATTTGTACTTTGTATATAAGGTTTTAAGTGTTTGATTTTAAAAAAAATTGGATAACATATTACATTTCATGTATAGGAGATGCAAGTGTTCGATCACAAAATATAGGAATATATCTACCATCATAGAGGTGTTTAGTGTAGTTTACCATTTTTAATAAATTACTCTAAACGGAGGAAATAGGACCTTAACTATAAACGGAATGGGAAAAACTTATTTAGCATAGTTCAAAGGTAAATTTAAAACTCGTTCCTTAAATGATAATCATTTAATTTAAAGCAAGTATTTTTTTTTCATATTTATCCCAGCCTTAAATAATACCATATAAACAAAATTAATAGACTTAAAGTGATAATATTTCAATAATTAGCAGGACCAAATACTAAATAGTTCACAGCCTTAACAGGGAAATTCATATGGTCGTGATGATCTAAAACAGAGCGGCCATTTCATTACGAGATCATTTCACATTTCATCCCCGTCATATTTTTCTTGTAACATTCTATCGTCACGTAGTAAGTTATTTATTTAATTAATTACGTTGAAATTTTATCGTGATTCCTTGGAGTTGGTGATATCAGCAAATGATAAAACGAATTACATTGTTCATGAAATAATTTCTTGTTAAGCTGATATTTGAAAATGAAAATTAATTAAAGCTACCCAGTACAAAAAAGAATAACGGATACCACTTTTCCCATCTCGAACTTTCCATATATGGTAATTAAAACTGAATTTTTTTATGAACACTACACCAAAGAATGAAATTTAGAACAACTTTTTACCAACAATACCTTTGACTAATTCAATAAACGTAATAATTTAATTTAAATTTTGCTATTCATAAACTTTTTATTAGTAAACTTTTTACGGTTAATATTAAATATAAATAATTTGGCAACGAATTTTTACCACGACCATAATATTGTTGGTTACTTTCACTAAATGGCAACAACTTAATTAAGTTATTATTATGAAAACATGTTACATGTTTGTTATCATATTTCACGAGGAATATAATAAATTGTAAAATATAAAAAGAATTGGTAGCAATATTTTTTTTTTTTTGGTAATAAACTGTAAATGATTACCATAACAAACAAAAAACAATACACCAAAAGAAGCACCTTAACCTCACAACCACCTTTCCACGAAGGGTATTGTTAGTGTCAAGGCGTCCAACAGCAAAAAAAACACTAGTTACATAACTTGTTAATCAGTCGAGAACACCTACAAGTTCTCTTGGAGGATTGCATCATATCTATTCTACTTATAATTTCCTGTTGTATCTGTATGTATACAAAACTCGTATGTACATCAACTCCCTTAAAAATCTTCCAATTTCGAGCTTTCCATGTATGATATACCATTGCACCGTATACAACTGCCATTATTTCTTTGTTAAACCTCCCTCAATGCTTCCTGTTGAAAAATTTCAGTGTGCCTGATATCCCTAGTTGTGGAAATAGGCAACTTATCCAATTTTGAAGTTCACCTCTAAGTGTTGAAGTCCATCTGCAATCCAGAAATAGGTATTGGTGGGATTCTTGGCCCTCTCCACCACACAAGCAACAACTCACATCATCACAAGGAATGTTCATCAATAACAATCTATCTTTGGTTAGCAATTTTTCCTACATAGCCAGCCACAAAATGAACCTATGCCTAGGTAAGGACACTGCTCCCCAGACCACTTCAGAATATTCCATCCTATTCAATAACCCCCCCCCCCCCC